TTCTGTAACGTAACTTTAACTTAAGAAAAAAAAGGTTTCAGCGAAGTTTTCAAGAACTCACTGGAGATGATGGGCAGCAATGGTCAACAAAAGGAGTAATCAAAAAAATGAAAGAATTGATTCATCGATAATGAAAATAATCTTCAGCTGCAGCCCTAGTCTGGGACAGACAACACAGAGACCCAGATCTCAACCCACTTGGCCTCGGCGACCCCTCTGATACCTCTTTGATTCTACGCTGCAGAGAGAGAAATACAACCTCCCAGCAGAGCAGCAGAGGAAGTTCTCCGGCAGGCAAGGCAAGCAGGTTCCTCCGAAACCAAAGCACAATTGTTGCAATTTCATTTCCTTCCCAGTAAAATGAGGAAATATGCACCTTTATTTCTAACCAATGGCAGATGAGCGTTTAGTCAGAAGACCAGTACGAACAAAAGGTGGGCTGTGCTATCAAGGGTCTATTTATAAAAGTTGATGCGACAAAAAAATATGTTTTACGACTTCAGGACTTCTGTTAATATAATGTTTCAGAGTTCGGACGAGTTTGAATTCAGTGTCATTATTGGTAGTTTCTTTAATAATCAACTTCTCACGCTAAAATGTTCAGTAGAGAGAAATGTAACATCTGGCATTAATATGACTTTCCTTGAAGATTCTTTGAGTAATCAATAAAGTGAGGAATCTTGGCTTGAAATATTGCACCCTGATTGACTTCCATTAAACAAGCATGGCCACAATATGAGGCCGTCTCTCCACTCAGATGACCTCAGCCGTCCCACACCACAGCGAGTTTATGTGTATAACAGAGACACCTACACACACATGCTCTCACACAGACACATGCAGCAGACACTAAAGCACACGTATCATGTGGTTTCCTGTCTGGTGCGTTCCTCTAGAAAGCCCACGCCGGTTGCTCCGGGTTTCTAGATGGATTCTCCAGTCTGCTTGGGGGGGTTTGAGTCTGTCAGGCTGTGATTGGCTCGCAGGCTGTCTGTGACCTGCTCACCTCACACCTAGCTGGCTTTCCCTAGCCGGCCAGGCTCTCACTCGACTCTCTTATATACAAGTTAAAGATTATCTGAACCAACAAAAGAACTGAATAGGTTTCGGTGAGAAACAGATGTTTTGGTTGTTTCAGCTCAAATAAAACTCATGTCAAAACAAAGAGAAAGGGAGTTATTTTTCCATTTTTCCCATGAAAGTAGGATATGGACTGTAGGACTGTTAAATATTCAAAATATTGAAGTAATTGTTCAATATATTGGGAAATACATTTGCTCTCTTACCAAAAGTTAGATGAGAAGATTAATACTCTCATGTCAGTCTGTTAAATACAGCCAGCAACTGGTTTGTTTAGCTTAGCATAAACGCTGGCAGCGGTTGGGAAACAGCCTGGCTCTGTCTCGGCAACAAATCTGTCTACCAACACCTGTAAAGCTGACTTATTAAAATGGCTTATCTCGTTTGTTTAATCTGTACAAAAACAAAGTGTAAAAACAACAAGTTGAACTTTTGTAGGCCTGACTACTTCTTGGCTGAGGAAACAAAATTAGTTTCATCTCAGTTCCAAGTGAAGAAATCTGCCTTTTTTATTTTTTAATGATTCATTGATTTTAGTCAGGCTCTCAGCGTTGCTCATAGCGCCTTGGTCAATCATAACAGGTATCGTTCAGAACGTATGAAAAGCTTGAACTTTGAGTGATTTAAACTACATGGGGGCGTTGGGGTGATGGATATCTCATGCGAGGTATGTCTCGGAGTCAGTGTGGATTGACACATTTCATAAATTGGAAGCGTATCTCCTGTCTGTGTATGTGGACCGCCCATCACTCTCGGCAAGAAAGCGAATATTTCCTAAAATGTCAAACTATTTGTTTAAAATATAAACATCACCATCTTCCTGATGAGTTACAAAGTTACAATGAGTTACATGTTCCACATTTTGCTTTTTTCTTTATTTGTCTGCTACTTCACCTCCTAATGAAATCAAGAATAATGACTATTATCACAATAAAGTATTGCCTTAAATAATTTCTTCCCTCTTACAGCTCAGACTGAATGGCAGCCTCTCACAGCAACACTCAGCTGTCAACTAAACATAAATCTTACAAGAATCACTGTACACCCAGCTGAAATTGAAGTGCACCTCGGTGCCACAACTAGGACGCCAGCCTGCTAGAGGGATGCCAGGGGGTAGCTTTTACACTCCACACTCCTGTGATCTGACCACATGCCTTGTCGCCGGGCAGATTTTGAAAACGACCGTCTATGACGCCAATGCACTCTTGGCAATCAGGGTTGGGCCGTGCTCACATTTAGCTACTGCTGCTGCATGTAAGTTTGTGTGAATGTGTCTGTATGGGGCTGTAGGGGTGAAAGAGGGGTGCAACCTGACCCCTTTGCTCCTCTAACTTGGTCTCTCTCTCCGTCTTTCTGTCTAACCCCCCCCCCCCCCACACACACACACACATACAGAGACTGGGACAGCTGCCATACTCGGGGCCTCTCCCAGTGCACCAGAGGAAAAGGCTACAGCTAAAAGAGCCCTTTTTCCCTCTTTTTTCATCCTTTTTTCCTCCTCCTTCATCTCTCTCACTTTTTTCCTTTGGTGGCCATACATTTAAATCCTGCAAGGCTCCCCGGGGTCAACAAACAGCGGCGCTCCCCCCCGTCTCTCACTGCTTCCTCCACTAGCCAACGGACTGGAGACTTCTATCAGGGCTCTGTCGGATCAAGAGCCATTGAGGGACTACGTGTGGAGCGTGTGTGTGTTTGTGTGTGTGTATACTCGAGGACTGTGCTGGTCTATCATTACTAACTATCTGCTTAATGCTTAGACAAATTCATAATTGTATTTAACTGAAATCTTAATAAAACTTTTGATCCAAACAGCATCATCTGTTCATCACCAGCTCAGAGAGCGTCACTCAAACGCAACAATGAAAAAAAAAAACCGTTATCACCTTTTCTCCAAAGCTAAACAAGTGAGTGACAACAGGTGGAGTGAGACGCTTAAACAAACTAAAAGTAGCATTAAGAGGCTAACCACTGTTGGCCCTGCCTCAGGCTCCTTCCAGCGCTCCCCGAGGACCCCAGACGGCAGGCTGGCCCTCGGCAGGCAGGCGGCCAGAGAGGACGCCTGACCATAACCCAGATGACGTGCGATGGATGTGGTGGGAAAAGGGCGGGGTGGAGGAAGTAAGGGACGGGGGGGGGGGACTTTAAAAGGGTAGAGGGGAGGTATGGGGGTATCAGCTTTCAAAAGACAACTCCCCGAAACTTTGTGTGTGAGGTCTGCGCTGTTTTCTCAGTCACCCGAGACACGCCTATTTCAATGGTGCAGTGCAGGGAAAACATTCAGAGGAAATTCATCACAATCATAGAACACATTTACAAATTAAAACCTTTATTTTTAACTCAAGTAAAATTGAATTTGTGAAAGATGTCATTCGTACTTAATTTAGGTTTAGGTTCATTAATTGATCGGTCAACTCACAGAAAATGAATTGCCAACAATTGATGTAATAGTTAGTTGATTTCTCCTTCTCCGTCGTGATTATTATTTCTTATTCTATAATATTAACCTAAATATATTTAGGTTTGGACTGCATGGGACCAAACAATGCATTTGAATATGTCTTCTTGAGCTTTGGGCAAGCGTGACAGGCATTTTTCACTTTCTTCTAACATTTTATGGGCCAAACAATTAAACCGACGGATGAATACAAGCCGAACAAAGGACTCATTGCAGGGCTTTTGTTTTAGGCTGCAGTCATTTTATCTAGGTGTGCCTAGTAAGCAGAATGTGCATCAAGCACTAAAATACTGATTCAAAAATACATTCACAACAACAACACAATTTTGATTCAGCTTCATAAAGTAACTTGAATAATTTCTTGCAAAAAAGGTAAAGACCAAACATTTCCAGAAGTCACAAATCTCAGCTCTGTAAGTCTACAGCTCTGTGCGGTAAGATTAAAATCTCTGTCCTTGCTCTGAGGTCTCATTTCCAACCTGAACAATTAATCAATGTCTTTGAGCCGCAGCTCAAATTCACATTATAAATGATGTCAGTGCCCTATTTAAAGCAGGTGAAGTAATTGGGGAATATGGACATCAATATTTCATATCTGGATGGCGGCAAGACAAGATGGACGCTCCTCTCGTCCTCTTTCTTTCCCCCTTTGTCTTTTTCTGGGCCTTTTCGTCGTCTGCATGTACTGTACAGTATGTGTGAGTGACAGTACTTCGCTGGGGTCAGCCCGTAATCTAACCCAGGGCGAGTCTGACAGAGCAACACAAAAAGTGAGGGAAAAACAACATACTTCTTGTGCTCTGTCCCACTTCGCTCTATTATTACTGTCGAGGTTGGCAGGTCAGAGGGAGAGTGAGGGAGCGAGAACCAAGCTTGATGGAGGAGGAGGAGGAGGAGATGAAATTACACCTGTTCTGGTGGCTGACTAACGACTTTGAAATGCGAGCGGACCTCGTCGCCGCCAAAATCATTTTCCCAACAATACGGCCTGATCTTTAAACAAGCAGAACTGGGACGCTGCGCTGACGTGACGCAGAGACAGCCTGCTGTGCTCAGACTCCGACAAACCCTTGGTCTTGATGCGTGTATGCGTACGTGTGTGTGTGTGTTATTGAGCTTTTCAAAGATACTGTATGCTTGAAATTAAAAAAATACCTACTTTTACAATTACATTAACCAGTCATTTAACAGACTGTGGTTTCACACACACACACACACACACACACACACACACACACACAGTTCCTAAATTGATGTCTGTCCAGCATTGTTTCTAAGTCTCATTCACTGCTGACTGCTGCCATATGGTTTCTGTACACTCACTGAACCACATCTGCTGTGTGTTACCGCACGCACACACATCTCTCCAATGCACCCATACCTCAGACTTGTGTGGCCTATACAAGGTACCCACACACGCACACACACACACACTTACACATGCATACAGTAGCGTTTAACTCACCATCTGTTCGTTGAGGTCCTGTGAGGCCTCCATGGTTTCTTGGGTTTTGATCCGCCACACGCTTGAAGGGGCAAAAAATGAGAAAATAAAATAGTCAATAGATATGAAATGAAAAAACTCACTTTTTTTCTATTTACCTTTGCACAGGTTTAAGCATCACCTGAACTAACTTTGTTTTCCAGGGATGTTGCTTGAACATTTGCTCGGGAGGGTTTGATTGCCAAATTGAATCACTTACACTCACACTGTGGATGAAACCACGCACCATCCTGCATTAATTTCTTTCTTTTTTTATGTCTATGTGCATCTGTCGGTTAGACCCTCTGTCAGTGTGTTTATGTGTGAGCAACAGGAGACTAAAGGAGGGAAGCGGCAGCAGTAACTTCAGTATATCACCTTCAGTCGAGGGTGAAGTGGAGAGATAATTGCAGAAGTAAATATCAACAATGAAAATTGAGAAGTGTAAATGATACGGCTGGTTGGCTGGCTCTGGACCACAGTCACAGTGGCTGGCGAGCACGCGAAGACAGTGAGTGACCCTATTAATACTAGACAGGAGACAGGTTGGCGCAGGAGTCCGGAGCGACGCAGAGGCCGAGGTGATTGTCGACAACCTAAGTGAGATTAGATGTTGCGATGAGAAAAAAAAAGAAGACATTCTGTCCTTGTTTTTTGTTTTTTTTGCCACTGTCATGCAGAGGGTGACGCTGCAACAAAAGGTCGGCCGAAAGAATGGAAAACAATGCCATCCTCCCAAAAGAACGGCACAAAATGGCTCCCCTGCAATATTGTGTAAAAATTTGACAGTTGAACAAAAAGAGTAGGCGGTGAGGACACGCACTCACACGCAAACACAAAAGTCCTTCCCCGTCATTAGATCTGCTGTTCCCAGCAAGTGTGTGGTAAGGAGAACAATTCCCAGCTCATTTGCCCCATGAAAATGTTTTTAAGCATTTGCTCTATTTCACTTCAAATGAAATGAATATTTTTCTACACCTGCACTTTGAGCCATGTGTCAAGAGCAAGCTGCAAATATCCTTTTCTGCACAGTGTTATCGTGTCATACAGTGTGTTCAGCTAAGTGAAGTAGGGCATTTATCAGAGTATATGTGTGCACGGTGAGTATGCATGGACACATATGACTGTGTGCTCTTCTACAAAGGCTGGTCAGTAGTTTAAATGTCAATTATATCTAAAATGTGTCTCAAAATAACAAGTAAGAACATTTAAACATTAAACTTTTTTTCCCACTTTGTTCTGTGTGTGTGTGTTTGTGTGTGTGCGTGTGTGTGTGTGTGTGTGTGTGTGTGTGTGTGTGTGTGTGTGTATGTGTGTGCACTGTGGAGTTTTCTGGCTCACTCCTTTAAACTAACTGGCATCCTTTTAATTTTTCATAGGGTTCAGCTCCTCCTCGCCTGAAACCAAAGACAATAATGCGTCTCTCAGGTGAATTGATTTGTGCCCAAGCCACCCTCCTTCCCTCTCCCTCCCTCTCCCTCCCTCTCCCCCCTCTCCCTCTCCCTCCCTCTCTCTCCCTCTCTCTCCCCCTCTCACCTTTGTGGAGGGCAGAATCAGACTTCTATCTGTTTGCTTTTCACTCTCCTCTTCACAATATGTTCTTCTTTAGAGAGGATGCAGTGGGCAGTAAACACACACAAAGTCAAGATTATCAACCATTTAATTGGAGAACGTTTGGGGGCAGTAAAGTGATAAATTAACACTGATAATGAGAATCAAAGAACCACAGTAGAGTAAAATAAGTCTTTTAAAAATATATATGTATGAATTGATGCTTTTAATATTCTTAAATGTCTTGTAAACTGGTTTGCCCACCTCTTAGGCCATGTGTCTGCCTCAGTAGTTACCTGACACTGCACTGGGAATCAATAATGCCTGCCATTTCCTTCAGCGTCCCAGAAGAGAGAATTAGATTTCTCACTATGGCCATTGACAGCGACATAGGAAACACATATGGGACGGCGGAGGATTAGAAATTGGACTACACGGCCACGCTGCGGTAATTTCACGCTATAAAAGCCGAAGAGAGGAGAATGTAGAACAAACCGCAGACTGCTGCTGGCTGGAGAGGTTGCAGTGAAAGGTCACATATTCACTTCCACTCCAGCTTGATTGACTGAACTACCGTTTTTACGCACAGATCGATTTTTTTTTTTTTTGGCGACACTTTTAAAAAACGCCGTTGAAGAAATGTTTTGTATTCTTCGGACGAAAGATACAGACACGCTTGTTCTCTCTGTATACTCTCTTTTTTCATCACCAGTTCTTTAATAAGTAGTCTACACAGACACACACACACATTCCAAAAAAAAAAATCAGGACAAAAATCGAATAGAAATTTTGGGAAATTACCTTGTAAGAGTGTTTTCCATATTAGTGGCACGAAATGATGAATAGGGTTTTGATTAAATGTAATATTAAATGTAATACGTTTTGCAACCCTCAAAGCTTCAGGACTAAATCCTGCGAAACCGCTTTTCAATGTCTCAGACAAATATTCTGCCCGAGTAAAATACAGATAAAGAATGACAAAAAGAAACGCGTAAACATTTTGAAATAAAAAAGGGCAGAAATGTTCAGGGATACAAAAAAATAGTCCCTCATAAACTGAAAATGAAATCTTTACAATTTTTTTAATTTATAGGTCAGAAAACGTCAATCCCAGCACGTTATATTTTCCTCATCATAATGGAAAACCGGCTTTTTCAAATTAAGAGCGGTTTATTTTGAATTCTAAAACTGTTATTCAATTCAAATGAAAAAGGCCATACTTTGTTTTCAACCTCTATGTGTACAGAATTTTATCATGTCACCAAATCTCCACACACCAAATCCAGTCCATCCATCTCTCTTGCGCATTAATGCGCATTGGTTAAATATGAGTCCTGAATGTGAAATTGAATCTGTATGGATTACGGTGCTGTAGACCTATCCGATTTTGAGTCGGCGCGTAACTTGTTATGTTGTTAGGGGCAGGCCAATAGCCAGCGGCCATTCAAGTCCTGAGAGCTCGGCCATGGTATAAGATTCCCATTTCCTACATATCAAATATAAACACAAACTCCACGTGGGATGAGAGAAGAGATGGGGAGAAAAGTCGTGGACACACAGAGGGATGCTGGCAGAACACTGACGGGAAACAAAATATTTCCATGTGTGATGGAATCTGGATTAAAAACTGTAGAAACCACATTGACCTGCAGTCCAAGATCATTATGGCAAATAACCACCAGAATAAAGCTCATTTTATTTTATTTTATTTTAACAAATAATTTAAAACATCAGAAAAGTTTCATCACCAGTTTTACAGGGGTATGGGGTATTATTATTAATTAAACCCCAAATTAAATACTGTTAAATTATGTTTGTGCCAATCTATAAAAAGTCTTTACCTGAAAATGAATATGAATAATAAACATTTAAGTGGTTTTAAGTGCCGAGATCCCGAGGCCAACTGACGAACTGAGTCGTAAGAAAATTGGACACCAAATGAAATATTATAATCATCATTGACAGACGTATTAATAGCTGAGTAATTGCCGTAAATACATTCATGAAATTGTCATACTTATCAATTGAATTAAAATGAATTGAATTAAATTCATTGTTGAGGGACAAATACTTTTAACTAAAGTACAATTTGAATAAGAATCATGACTTGATGCTTCGTTTATTATCTAAGATTGCATGAAATTAATCAGACTGAATCAATGTCAATAACTATGACAGTTATCGAGTTATCGTCCGCGGACTGCAGCCACGTGAACTGTCACTGACCTCATATCTGTCAGAGTAAAACAACAGACCCGTAACTGTCTGTAAATAAAGAAACAGAGTCAGCATACCTGTGTTAATATTGCTATCGTCCCAGCAAGAAGCTCCCAGATTTCCTTCACTTCTTGGAAACGCTCATAATCAAATGTAGTGAGATCTCCGCACAGCTCTCCCTGCTGTTCGCAGGCTGTCACTGACTGGATCAAAACACTTCAGCCACTGCTGGCCATCACCCGCAGGAGTCCCCAAAAAAACGAGCCCGAGGAGTTAATCAGACTCGATGAAACTAATTTACAAACTTAAGCCGGAGTCCCGGGTCTCGGTTTCGGTGACCGGACCGCTCGCCTCTGCGGGAAACACCATTGTTTTCAGTCCGCGTCCAAGTTTGAGCACCAGGCTGTTCAGAAGCATTAGGCTCAACTTCATTATTTGAAAACCGTCTCGCTGCGCATGCGCTCAGCTGCCATGCGGACACAGTCGGGCAACTATCCAAAGGACTAATGGGGTTCAGAGGGGAGGGCTGGGGGGGGGGGGATACCAAAATGACATTCTTATTAATAGTTTGGCCTAAATGACGTGCTCGCAGTTTTATTTATCCCATCAGAGCAAAAACAACATGCACACACTGACCAGCTTATCTATCTATCTATCTATCTATCTATCTATCTATCTATCTATCTAT